ATGTTTATTAGGAGAATATTGAATTAAACGTCGAAGTAATGGTTGATTCCTTTCTGGTTCTTTGATCTAATACGTGTAATATACAGTATATTTAGATATTTTATTTGTTTTTCATAAAGTTACAACTAAATTTCAGTTAGTTAAAATTAGAATTGCTCTTAAAGAGGACTATTTCATCATGGAACAGTTGGGGTATATACAATTTTAACTTATAAAACGTGATCAAATCTAAATGAAACAAGTTTAATGCAATGTGTAGTGTGCCCCCTATCACAGTTCAGCTGATTTAAAAATCACGTGGTGATCTGAATTAAGGATTCTTCTTTACTGCTTATTGACGTGTTCTTTTGGAGTTGCTTTACTATTAAAATCCTTCTACTATGGTGGTAGTCCTTTCAAATAGTTCAATCTACATTTACACTATATGCAACCAATCTGGAAATTGATCAGTCACTACCGTTGAACAAACATAACTGTTGGTGATGGGTTGAAGTCAAGAAACAAAAGAAATCGCCATATTCCTTTTCTCTGACACTGTCATCTCGTTATATTCTGGAGACAAACACAAATATCTATCCAACTCAGATGCTGTATACGATTTTAAGATAACGCCATCTTCAATATTTGATTTTACATTAAACATTACATTGCTTCTTGGCTAAACATAGTGAAACCTCATATCCAAAAGTCTGTGACTTAATTTCCGGTTGTTTGATTGGATTAGTCAGATGAAGTATATTAAGTACGACCTGTGCTTAATTTGTATGTCATCTCTGTGTCAAAAAAAAAAAAAAAAAAAATAAATAAATAAATAAAAATGTGATATTCTTTATCATATACTAATGAATACTCAATAATAAAAACCTGCTAAAAGAATTTTGGCGTTTTATATCTGGGTGTTATATTGAATGCTGTGTTTGCAATGCGTATACGAATATGCCACGAAACATTCCGAATGCGAGGTTCATTATCAAACGCCCCGTTGTAAACCAAAAAATTTCGTCTGGTCAACACTCAACGGCAATATTTATGATGGGTAGTGACAGCTAGGCAAGATGTATCTATTTTCACACAAAATTGAAATTATTAATTAATAATTTAGTGCCTATAAGCCTCAATAAAAACCCAAGAAGCAAATCATAATGCTTGATAGAATCATTGAAATGATGTGAAATTGAACACTTCCAGGGCAGACGCTGATATTGTGCAGTTTTAATTTAAATGCCGATGGTAAAAAAATCATTAATTTTGAGTTATTATTATAAATCAATGAGAAAATGTTTTAGCTATATTAAAAAGGAGTTACTGAACTTAAATTTGTGAATATAGGCACTCGTTGGCTGTACAAATGCACTTTTTGGCTCATGCATGAAATATGGAGATAACGAACAGTATTCAAGCTCAAAGTCCATTTAAGCAATACAAATCGGGAGCAGAGCAAGGACCTCCAAAAACATCAGTGGTGGGATCAGGTGCAATGGAGGAGTGAACTTCCCCTCGCCGTGTGCTCCTTGTCATGATCGGGAAAAACGGGAAAATCCGTAGACAATTCAGTGTGCAAATAATGGCCTATCTATTAGTATGAAAAATGTCACTCAGTACATTTGTACAGCCAACTAGTGCAATATTCACCAATAACCCTATTATATTGTTAAGTGAACACTTATCATGAAATCTGCCTGGAAGGAATTTTTAAACGCTGTATTACTTGCTTAATTTAACAAATTTTAGCACATTAGATATCTTTAATTGTATTTTCAATTTCAGAGGAAAGAAATATTTTACTCTTCGCTTAATTGTAAATGGTATGTAAGAAATGGCGAAAGATAGACATTTCTTGTTTCGGTGCTAAAACGTTTAAATTGGCGGTTTATCAGGCTTGCATCTTCAATTCAACAGGTTACAATTATTAAGTATTCATGAAGGCCTGCAAGAGATTTTACAGGGATGATGTAAAATCTGGAAAAGCTATGTCGATAAATCTCTCTTATCCAAAATGCAAAATAAAAAATGCACAACGGAAATTGAAAAACTAAAAAAGATTCATTTTCTTAAAACTTTTTCACTTCATGGAAAGCAAAAATTGTGTATGTTTTGGAAACTGCAGTTTCAATTATAAAATTTGACAGGCGCAAGCAAGGCAAGATTCAGTGATTTTTGAAGTCAAACAAGGGAAAATGGAAATATTTCTTTTTTGCAGCTTTTTTAACGTGAAGTACTTGCTGCAGTTACATGTAATCATGCACAGATGTCCCGTTGCCGATTTCAGATTTTTCTGGAAAATTCAGCTCATATCTTGGCTTTGGGAACATTGATTTAAAATGTGTATCCACATTTTGCACTGGTACAAAGAATTTAGAATTAGGCACCATAACAATTTTTAACTATATAACACTCATACTCATATGTCAGAGGGACATTGGTATTTGCGACATGACAGTAAGTCAATGTGATTAACCGTTCACGGAAGCTCAATCCTTTGAGCGTTGCTCCGTGATCGGGAGTTCGTGATTTCGAATCTTGGCCGCGACTAAGTCGATAAAAAATGGGTAGCAACTGTTCCTTCACCATGCGCTCGGCACTTTGAAGCGAAAGTTGCGGTTCCTTCGGATGAGACCTTAAAAACCAAGGCCCCGTGTCACGGCAGGCGTTGGCACGATAAAGATCCATCACTGCTCAATGGCCCTGAGCGCCAAGTAAAGGTCAAAATTTGAAGCCCTTAACCGGTATATGGTGACGTCTCTATATGAGTTAAAAATTCTCGAATGGGACGTAAAACAACATACAATCAATCAATGTGATTATACACCTTGTAGATCATGGGTAATCATAGGGTTCCAAAATAATGACCCGGGCACGATTTTCTGATAGACTGGAAGAAAGACGGGAAGCCATGCTCAAACCAATCTTTCTGGTGGAGCTATAATTAAGAAAGAAAATATAGTATAATCAGAGACCGTTATATTTCAGGAATCTATATTTGTATTCGTTTCATAACATAAAATTATATAAATGTGTGTATTAGTAAGTGTAATATATAAAATGTCATAGTCAGCTGCGAATCAAACATGGGAAATGTTGTATAATCGTTATTTATTCTGCAGCATAGTCAGCATCAGCAACAGGAAGATGCAATGCTTATAGAGACACGGTGAGTCATAATTTATTATTTTGTTTATGATATTTCCATCATATTATAAAATATGTGTAAAGCGAAGTATTGACAAACTCGGTTGCAATGCAAAGCAATATGATAAAAGTTATTTCGTTTTTTTTTCCAGTACCAAGTGTCTCTTTGTTTATAGTTGCAACCTGGTATAAAGATCTTGAACCGGGGCACGCAAAGGTAAGAATAAGAATATTATCAATTTCGGTTTACCGACATTCTGCTTCTAAAGACCATGATGATTTTTTTCACGCAAACAAAAGACTATGAAGGAAGGAGCAAACATTTTTTTCACCGTAAAAGTAGAATTTTAGGTTTTGAAACTTTCAATTTTCTGAAACGTAATGCCTCAAAAGAAGGATTTAGCCATGCAAAAAAAAAAAAATGTTCAGTTGTCACGTTTTTGCATCATCCGTCTTTTTAATCACCAAAATTTCCAAAATTGACACTGATGTAACAGAAAAAATGAAGCAGGAAAAGTGAAGATGCCAATTTCAATGGCATTAGATAACACCATTTTAGTAGACAAATCAATTCCCAGATTTCATCAAAACACATGCAAAGGAACATCAGTGATAATTAACTGAAGCAGCATTTGAGAACATTACATTTCATTTTTGAACAATATTTCATTCTTCGCTATAAAAAAAAATGATTCATAAAATTTTGCAAATGGATAAATGTGTCTTTATTATAAATAACTGAAATGGTAAGTTAATGACCAAGACTTTCCACAAAAAAATAAACAAAAACAAAAAACAAAAAAACATCGAATCTGAATCTCTTATCTTACCATTATTTTCCCCGAGACTCGATTTCAATGTAATTAAAACCCACCCCCTTACAGCAACTTATAGTTTGTCTAACAAGTTAGCGACATACCATTTCGAAAACAGAAAGCTCCACGGCAGATTCGACTGTATATATAATTACTTGATTCAACGATGACGTAATTTTATTTTTTTTCCTTCAAATTAATATTTCTCCTAATTTCGGTGTTTGTTACTGCCGAGTCTATTACACACGCAATTTTGAATTGAGAACAGTTTTAACTACGCAAAGGAAACCAGATTTACTCGAAGGAAAAGACAATGTGGAGTTTTTGTGATTATTAAGTAAGAATATCTGCGTTGAAATAACAATTATTTTGTCTGCAGTCGTTCTGCTTGTATTTCAAAGTTTAGCAATGGTTATAACAAATACAGATAATTTTAGGCATCTTGAAATTTTTGAGTAATTTTATTCAAATTGGTTACTATTTCAGTAATCTTCGTAGTACGGATTAAAAGAGAAATTAACAACTATATCAATATCTTTCGTCACTATGCTCTTTTTGTAATAAATTTTGAAGAAATTAAAAAAGAAATAATTACATGTGTTCTATCATGTTCTGTGCTACGACTTAGAAACAACCAATGGTATAGTTTATGATTTTAATTCTTCATACTAAAGCATTAATTATAGCGCATTTGAATTGATGTTTTTTCTTTCCATGGTCGAAATTCTCGCTTTTACTTTCTATTCAAAATTATACAATTCAGCAGACGTAGATCAGGAAATTTTTGGAAGGGGTGAACATTGTACCTAACAAAAAATACTTTCCAGGGAGCATGCGTAAAAATGTTTTACTGTTTGATGGGATGGGGTAGGGTGGGGGTACTTTTTACAGTTCCTTTTCTTTTTAAGATGGAGATTGTGTATGTCATGGCTTCTCTCTGGTTCTGTAATGGTACAGAGAGACTTAATAGAATTCAGATCGTAAGGAAGTACAATAATGTAAATCAGCAAGATAAAGAATGACAACGTTATGATTTTCAAACATTTATATCACATTGAAAACATATTGACATTACTAATCAAACAATAATAACAACTTGATCAAGCAATTCTAAGAACATTAAATGTACTGGTCAAATCTGAACATGGATTGAAAATAACGATGAATTAATATTAAACATTTAATGTTCAAATGAATATTCTTCTCATGCTTTTTTCATATCTGCAGATATGTAAACATCGAAGACAGAAAATCTGAAATAAAGACTTACTGGCCTGACTGATAAAATTACAAACAACAAGAAACAGCTATGAAACATTTTTATAAATAATTTGCACCAACCTTTTCAATGATCAACAACACTAGCCTCTTTACACAAATATTGCACTTTCGATATATTTTCGTATTACAACATACGATGTCGTTTTATTTTTAAATCTACCACTTTTTGTCGGATAGCTATAATGTCCAGTACATATGCAATTTATTTGTACATCACCGACAGTGGACTTCTACAGGTTTCAGCTGTAAGTGTCAGACGTTTCCATAGCAGTGACATTTTGACGTGTAACTCAAAAGTTTTCTTTCTGCAATTACCCAGTAATAAATTAAAAGTTAGCCCTGCAAGGCAAAAAAAAAAAAAAAAAAATATCATTGTTTCCTGTGACATGCATTAAAGAAAAAAAAAAAAAGTTCGGTAAATACAAGAAGGCTTAAAACAAGCTCAATTCTTTTCTTGGAAAAGTGTATCATGATGAAATTGTTCTTAGAAAGTCCTTGTTCCAAGACATTTTGTTTTAATTTAATAAAGCACCTCTAAGAAATGAACAGTAGAGTCGTTAAGTTAAATTTAGCTCTTTTAAGGCATGGATAGAGGCAATTTTAGCACAAAGGCTGCATAAAAACAAGCTCCAAAATACTTTGTCTAAAACCTTTAATGGTAAATCTAAAACCAATTTCTCAATATCTTTCTATATATTTGTAAAATATTTACTCACAGGAAACAACATATGTTCATGTTATTCAATTTAAACTCTTTCAAAAAAAAAAATGCATATACATTGTATAACAATTTTCAGTATATGGAAGAAAAGTTTTCAGAGATTTTACACAATCAAATACCATAGCACAAAAAGAAGTTAATTGTTTCATCGCAACTCAGTTAGTAAAAGATTTATAATTCTATTTCTTGCAACATTTTATCAAATCGCACTTATAAACAAAAAGATATGATTTTTGCCATTCAACATTTCCAACTAGTCACATATCAATTAGAAGGTCTGATTTAATATAATGGATTTTTCTTCATACGAATTAAATTTAGCCTAAAATTACATCGAAAGCGGAAAATTGTTACGCATGTGAAGATAAATCATACCTCTGAGTGAGCTTTGATGATGGTCATTGAGGTGCTCCCTCGTCTAATGGTTCCATTATAAAGCATGGCTGACGCCGACTCCGGTTGGATCGGCCTGTAGGACTTTGGGCAGCAGCGAAATAAATATTTGTTGTAATATCTCCTGAACTGACTACTCAGAAAGTACAACGCATACGGATTTATACTGGAATAAACGTACATGAGACAAAATCCAAACACTTTGAAGATTACCCAGAATATCGTTACTTCTACCTCGTCACCTGTCCAATGGTACCAAAGCAGAAACACGTATCGCGGCAGCCAGCACAGTATGAATAAGAATACAAATGACAGGACCACTTTTGCGACCTTAACCCTAGCCTCCATTTGCTTCTTTTGTTGGCGGGAAACGACAGAACCCGTAGTAGTTTCACAAGGAATTCGACGACTGCTTGTCACCAGTATAATCGCCATCATGCAGTAGAAAAATCCTATTATTAAGAGGGGTACCACAAACAGAACGATGAATTTTACCATTATAAAAACCTTCATAAATACCTGTTCATCGTAACAATATTGCTTACCCTCATAAACGTATATGTTCATGTTTACTGCTTCTGGTATAGCAAAGAGAGCTGATAATATCCAAATCGAGGCTACTGTTATTCCTATCTTAAGTCTTGGTTTTCCTTTATGTTTGCTCATTGGAAACACGATTGCAAAGAATCGGTCTCCGCTTAGAGCCGTTAGTGTGAACACTGATACTCCAACACACAGGGTTTGCAAGTATTCATTTCCTTTGCAGACCACCACTCCAAATGGATACTCATCCAAGGTGAAGTACATTGAAGAAAAAGGAGCGGACATTAGCAGTAGTACCATATCCCCGATAGAAAGGCTCACTATTAAAATGTTTGGTGTGTTCCTCATGCATTTATTGGCGAAAACAGTGTATATCAGAAGTCCATTTCCAACAACTCCAACTAGCATCAAAATAATAATAATCAAAGGAACAACAATACGCATCACAGCTGCACCTGCTGGCTCATTGTTGCTGTAATTTGCAAAATTTCCTTCAGTTGAGTTAAAAGCATTAACTATAGATGTGTTCGTATACTCCATATCTTGTTTCTCGCTCTTTAACTCGACTCAAATCAAACTGCTTTTTTCAACGTCAAGTTTAAATAAAACGTTAACCAGGACTTCAATTTTTTTTTTTCAAAATTGTCAATATAAAATCAAATAAGACCGTCAGCTGCGTGTCATAATTAAACATGCAGAGACTTTATGTAAAGATTTATAATTACAGCATTTATGGATCTTTTTATCAAGAACAAACGCCAGGATCATGTGTCATTTATTCCTTGTCGATTTGCCTTGCAACTGGATACCTCGATGGACGAGGGCTGTCGCTACATCTGTTCCCTGTTAGAATTTGTCTCCTCCTGAATTGAGGTTGTCAAATTACCGACACCTTTTCATGGCTTTTCGCTGTCTTAATCAATTTTATCTTTTTCAATGTTTTCATGCGTCATGAGGGTCTGTGAAATCTGAATATGAAAACGGAACAAATATCAAATAGAATTCATTAAAATGTGTATTAGTACGTTTTTCAGATTATAAATAAATCTTCCTATACAAAATTGTTTGCACATGCTTAAAAAAAGTTTTTTTTATGCTCTGACTTAAATGAGTTTTAAAAAACTTCTAATTTATGACCCCAGATATATCCTCAAATGCCTGTTTTTTTAACCGTTGACCATATATAAATAAATAAATATATATATATATATATATATATATATATATATATATATATATATATATATATATATATATATATATATATATATATATATATATATATATATATAAATTTTTTAAAAAGTAAATATTCTGAAACCTAAAAAGACGCAATGCATCGTGTAAAAATCCCATAGGACTTAAATGATATTAAAAGTAGCAAAATAAAAGGAAATATAATAATGATATAGGAAATTTAATTTCTTGTAAAAATTAAAAGAGTTTCCAAATCAATTTCTACGAATCGTTTCTTCTCAGAATATAAAGTGTATACCGCAATCAATAATTTAATTTAAATTGCCGATAAATAAACTGTTGGACGCAAAAAATGAAGCAAACTAATTTTGGAAAGATTAATTGGAAAACACGACTTACCTGTATCTCATGAATCAAATTAATTCTGGTTTGTTCATTCCCACTGGTTCAATAGTTTGTTCCGAGAAGATCAGTGTGTGAGAGCATCTGCTATTGAAGTGTGCCAGTTCTATCTCATCTGCCGAACATCGCTACCAATGGTTTTCTAAGAGGTTGGGCATTGAGTACTCGCCTCCGAATTCTCATTGGTAGAACCCCTCGCTCCAGAGTATAAGAAATGTGTGCTTATATTGACTATTCGAGCAAACCAGGATTGGGATGTTATAGATGGGCAAATTTATCTGCATTGTAATAATTCAAATGGCACAAAAGCTTAAAATGATTTTTTTCTACTCTTATATTATTTTTAAATTGCTTTTTTTCACATAAGTGGAAATATTTATAAAGATAGGAATAGTCATTGTCTACGTATTAATTATGCAACAAGATTATATACTAGTAATAATTATCAAACATATAATTAACATTGAGCTAGCGACGTAAGCAAGAATCTGGTATTCTTATGCATTCGTTTAAACCAATTAACAGAAGTACTAGTGTATAAGGGGGTGTAATAATATTTCAAGATGTGAATTTGTGATTTAAGATGGAAGTAACATTAAAACTCGGTTATAGCGAAGTCATTGGAACCTATGAATTTACTTTATATCAGTAGTTCGGTATATCCGTAGAACAAGTACATGTTAAAGTATATGTAACGAATTCGAAATAACTTATTTCGTCCTCTCCCTACATGAGAAGTCCTTCAAGTATGACTGTCTAATGTATTTAAGGAAGTATTAAATAGAAAACGTACCATGGAGAACTAGTTTGATAATGAATTTAATATCAAATATGAATATTTCTATCAGTTTAATAATTAAAATCTGAGAACTTTAAAAATTCGTTATAAAAGATGTAGTAAATTTCATTATTTTTCATCTCTCACAGAATTGTTATGTTCTAAATTTGAATTTACCGGGTGGGAGTAAATACAAAATTTAGAACATGACAGAATTACGCTATATTCGTAAGTTCGTTCTATATCAGAGTTTGTTGTAACCGAAGTGAATGAACAACAGTTGACCATTATCATTTGATATTAAGTTTGTTAATGACGGTCTCCAGAAATATGTCGGGCTGTTCAAACTTTACAGACGGCGGATATGATTGATCAACATCCGGCATATTTCCTTAGAACCTGGGTAGATGGACAGTAACAATATAATATTAATAACTGATTAAGTTGCCAAGAACTAAAAAGAGTGCAGTCTTTTAATTTATGTTTTCATTTTTTTTTCATTGTATGAAATTCTCTGTCCAACTGTGCAAGTCTGTTTGTATTGTCTATTGATTACGTTACTTTAAAATCCACTTGTGATGTCATTCTTTTGTTTGGATGCTCCATTATTTTTTGGGAATGGAGAGTTGCGAATTGCACGGAGAACATAGTGTTCATATTATGTTTTAAATTCGATATGTATCATTCACTCCGCCGTCCATAGAAATAAAGACGTTTGACACGTCACCTCTGCTATCTAATGAATGTGGACATATAAGTCAAAGGCGAAATAAAGATGGAAAATCAGATTTTTAGTGGAGGATATTACAGATGGTAAAACAAATTTAATATATATATTTTACAAGTCTCTACCTTTTAAAGGAAATGCATGTGTGATTCGAGCAATAGGTGGACCCTCAACCAGAAATAGTGCCTTCAGCCTTTTGCTTCAGGCAACACTTTTTCATCGGATTAAAAAATTCTTTCTTACCTTCATAATCGATCAATAATTATGTAATGTCCACTTCATAAAATTGTTTTTAGGTTTTAAAAGAAGTGCATAACTGGGAAATTTAACATTCATGATGGAAGCATAAAGCAGAGACCTTATACTTTAATATATATAGTTTACAAGTCTCTACTTTTTAAAGGAAATGCATGTATTTAAGTTTCCTTGTTTAAATTTGACATTCTAGATACCTTCCTATGAGCATTTCGAGTTCTGTAGATTTCCCAGAGGTGTTTAGTAGGAATATGTGTTAAGTTGAATCTTTATGGTAAACTGTTAATGAACCAATGTCTCAATTTTCTTATTTCTGTGAAATATATAATTACTTTTATGAGTGAGATTGTTTCCGATTTTAGTGAAAACCTCTTGTACTTTCAAGAAATCTTTTGAATGCTTTTAAAAAACGTTTAAATACAGCAAAGTGTATTGATCTAAAGACTAGGAGTCTCGGCCTGTAAGGAAGGTGCTAGTTGCCCTCGTTACCCTCTCTATGTAGATATACTACTTATTCAGGGTTGCTACAATTTTACAGATATTATCTTTGCTGAGAAGATCGCCTTCAATTTACAAAATAACTGAGTAGTTTTTTCTTTGTTTCCGAATTTTCTTCTTTTTTCTTCTTTTTTTCTTTTTTGAGTATTTGTAAAGCCGACTGCAGGACTTTTTTTTATAGGAGAAACAGCTGATTTAAGATCAATTCTTTTTACTTTCGATCGATGTTTTAAATATCTTACGTGAAGTCTTTGAAAGTATGCTATGCAAAACAGATGTCGGGAAGGTTTTGATTAATCATTTGTTTGATTTTTACAACGCTTTAATTAGCTTAAATGATGTATTGGAATATCGCGTTATTTTTTCTTTCATCTAGATTTATCATTACCCATGAACATATATCGTTCGATTATATTTACTTTGGCAGTATTGCTATACACCTGAAACGAAACCTCTTACATTTTCTTAAGTTCACAAAGGTTATTCAAAATATTGACTCCAATAGAATGTATTTAATGAAAGCCTAATTGCAAATTTGAAAAAAAAATATAGAGCTCCTACAGGTTTGTCATTTTTCGTATGTTTGATCTTTAAGTCTTTCGAGAGGTCTTTGTATAATATGATGTATGATGTATGAATATTTTTTTTTATTGTAATGCTTAATTATTAATATTGTTATATATAACGTCCCATTCGAGAAATTTTTTCTCAAGTAGACAAATCAAATTTTTTGCTTACAGCGGTAGCAGTAAGGGTTCTTTATCTTGCCAATGTCTACCTTTACACGGGACCTCGATTTTTTAGGGTCTAATTCGAAAAACCCGTGACTTTCACTTCTAACGCCGGGAGCTGGGTGAAGGAAGAGTCCCTATCTATGTCAAAACGAATCAAACTTCCCGATCACGAAGGGAGCGCCATACATGTACGCTACTGCGAACGGTTATATATATATTCTAAAGCATATAATAAATGGATGTTACATACATAAAATATACTATTTTCCTATTTTGAGATACCCTATAAAGCTGACATATACTGTATTGTCAATGTTTAGTTAAGTTTCACTATTTTATTTTAAAGTACTTGTTTTTTTTCAATATGCTTATCTAAGAATTAAAAGAATAAATTTATCCCAAGATAAAAGCTCATCGGCAATTTATGAAGATTCAGAATGCAACATAAATTTCAAAGATGGATATTTAAATCTTTCTAAAGGTAAGGGGATTCAAATATCCTGAACAGAGTGTGACGCTGCATGTCATTCAAGGTGCATGTATATATTTACTAGTGCACAGTGACTAAAACTAAATGGATGAATAGTTTTACACGGATTCCAATTTTATGTTAAAAACAGTTCAATGTCCAACACAAATATTGTCTACATTCATTAAGCGTTTTTAAGACGTCGTACAAATCTAATAACCATGATGCAATTTTGCTCAGTGGAGCGTGAAGTTCACTTCCTGGCGTTGCAGACTAATTCCAGCCTCACTGGCCGCCTCACAAGCAGCTCGTGCGGGGATCAATCTCTCACTCATCAATACAAGTTGTTTACAATTGTCAGAAATACAACAGTCGTGTTTATTCTCCTTTGTGTATTACAATACTTGTTGAAAGGTTCCTCGTCCCTTTGTAATGCAAAGCGCGCTGCTGTACGTACACGAAATGATTTAATGCAATATTCGACATTCCCTTTTTTGCTGCCTACCAGAACATTGTTCATTCCAGCGCCCCAAGGTTTCTTATATTCTTCAAAGGTTTCTGTGTTCTAGTTGAAAGACATTGCAGTCTTAAAAATTAGGGGGAAAAAAGTAAAAATAAGGCATATTGAAATTAGAATATGAAGTTGATCGAATTAATATTTTCTAATGAACATTGCATAGAATATTGCTCAGAACTGATTTCCAGTTTATGAATGCAGGTTATAAAATGCTAAGTATATACATACGAGAATAGATGTTTCCTGATTTATTTGCACGCATACAAATTCAATTAGACCTGATTTTTCCTCGTTTAAGAGCATGTCTGTGTTCAGTTCGTTTTTTTTTTTCGCATATGCGTTCGTTTGATTAATTAAGAATAATGTGGTCTGGCATCTTTTAAGCATTCGCACTGTTTAAAAAAAACCATCGACTTCACCTTTGTTGTGGTTACACATGTGACGTGTCATGACCTTCATGTACTGACTTATCACAAAGGAAAATGTCGTACTGATGAGGAATTGAAGTTTCCGCCTGGTCCATAAAATGACTTAATATTACACCTGATATCTGTTCCCTTCTCTGACATTCAAAATCACATCCTTTAACCTTTGAATAAAAATTCTGCCCTGACCGTTTACTGTACAGTATCCCAAATATTAAAGAAAATAACTTGATATTTTGTTTATAATGCACATGTAGTAATGTTATTAATTTCTTGCTCAGGTGGTCATGACCTTAGATTATTGTAGTTGTCTAGCAAATATATCGTCAAATTGGAATCTTCGAACCCGAATATGGCATGGAAATTGTATGTAGGTGTTTTGTTATCTTTGTTGTTTTATTTGAATTTTTAGATAGTTGCTGTGGTTTTAGGTGAGGATATTCTCCAACATCCGTTCAATGACTGGGTTTTGTGTTCATAATGCTGTCTTATGATGCAAGCAAAGGTTTCTTTACGTAAAATATTTTCTCTTTATATCTGAATGCAAAATTGACTTAACAAGAATAGTCAAGTAAAAATAAACAAAGCTTATTCTGCTTTGCATTTGAATCGACCTTGTGTTCTGATCATCAGATCGTTTTCAATCATTGAGTTTTTAAAATAAATCACTCCCTAAAACCCCAAAACAATGCCTACCAGATTTCCGATTTACCAAGACGCTCTGGTATTCATTAAGGCCAAAACATTCCACCTTTATTTATTTTTCATTTCAAGGTAAA